TACTGTCAAAGGTGGCAGGATAAAATGGCACAATATACTATAACAATCAACATTAATAAGGACCAATCCCCAACTAAATCATCCCAGCCAGGGCTTTGTCAAGCCGGGCCTTAAAAACCTCTAAGGAAGGAGATTCCACCACCTCCCTAGGGAACCCATTCCAGTGCTTCACCACCCTCCTAGTGAAATAGTGTTTCCTAATATCCAACCTGGACCTCCCCCACTGCAACTTGAGACCATTACTCCTTGTTCTGTCATCTGCCACCACTGAGAAGAGCCGAGCTCCATCCTCTTTGGAACCCCCCTTCCAGTAGTTGAAGGCTGCTATCAAATCCCCCCCCACTTCTTTTCTGCAGACTAAATGACCCCAGCTAGATAGAAACCTGATAGATTTCACACAGTCTCTGGCACGTCTAAGTTTTGGGGGTGAAAGCCCTGCTAGCGGCATGCTTTGGGGGTTGCTTGATTGATTTTCTTAGCGAGACAAGGTGGGCGTGGGACTATCTTTTTTTGGACCAGCTTCTGTTGGCGAGAGAAACCAGCTTTTGAGCTTACACCGAGCTCGAGGGTTATTGGCTTGGGGTTATTTTCAGGGCGCTTTTGAATATATGGGACATCAAGGTGGATGTCATATTTCCGTGTGTGAGAGAGAGCCAGGGAGACCAGCACACTGCCCCCTGCTGGTGGAGAATTGCAGCCGTGTGTGTGTGTGTGTGTGTGTGTGTACACACATTACAGGTGAATCCTGCCCCATTGCACTCAATGGGAGCTTTGCCCCAGATCTCTGGGCACAGATACACACTAACACACTCCAACACTCTTGATGTTTCTCTTAGAAAACTTTTAACAACCATCTCCCCTCTACCAACAAAAAGCCACAGTCCTCCGTCGTCATCCACACGCTGGTTACATTCCTAGAATACAGGGCAAAGTCATTTACCACACACTGCTCATCCACAGAGCTAAAAAGGAGACAGTCACTAGGCGACAAATGCTACCATGACATGAATCACAAACATAAATAAACCAGTCATTTCCAGCAGCTTAACCACACTGCTTCGCGTGTTAAGAGTGGAGGCTTTACTCGGCAGAGTAGTGAATGTTTAGCCCTGAGTCTATAGAGGAGTGCAAGAGACACTAGACTGTAATGAGACAGACAAGTAGACAGATAGAAGGGGTTGTGGGGGGCTGGATAGGTAGAAACACCACAATCTGAGATAGATCGATAGATAGAGGGAGTGGATGGGGATAGATAGATAGATAGATAGATAGATAGATAGATAGATAGATAATGAGAAAGTCAGAGTGTACAGCTAGACAAACAGACCAGAATCTAATGAGACAGACAGACACCGTGTGCATTATCAATAGGACGACAGAATTCATGTAGCAATTGTAACCCATGGCTCACTGTCAGAGCAGCTGTAAGATGTCCAGATCAGCCAGGCGGCATTGAAAGCCCAGCTCAGAATCTCCTTGCCCCAGAGCAACGTTGGCAGACGAGTGATCCATGAGCACCCACCTCCTCGAGGCGGGACAGCGCGCCCTAGGCTGCAGTTCTGGCCCCCGCGAACGGAGAATCTCCTAGACGTTCGCACACTTCCAAGCTACATTGATCTGGGTTTTCTTTTCTAAAGCCCAGCTTTGTTTTTATTAACGCCATTCCCGTAACGGGCAAAAAACCCATCAGCGTCGCTGCAAATCTGCCAAGTGCTCCTTTGAGGTTGTACAACGCTGGCCTCTGGGGGGCAACTTACATGAGAGGGGCGCTGGTCCTTCAAGGTGCAGAACCCCTCCTGGCCACCAGTAGTGCTAGAACGGCCCCGTCCCTGGGAGCTGCAATACACGTGGGACACCACCGGGGTGGGGGAAGGATGTCTGCCTCTGCAGAGCAGGGCTGTAGGGAGTGGAGAGAAAGCCTAGAGCAGGAAATATAGGGCTCAGTTAGGGGTCATTCGATTCAGCCCCACAGAGGTAGAGAACTAGACTGATTTTGATGGTCCGGCTGGCTTTCTTTATCCCCAGCACATGCTTCAGGGCCAGGCTGGCCTCCAGTGATTTTTGGGAGAGGGTGAAATTCTGCTTCCTTTTCACACCAGACATCACAAATTCCCAGTGACCAGTTTATTGGCTGGAGGAAATTGGCCAGTTTAGGTTGACATGGCATGGGGACAACACAGAAGGTCATTCTCTCCAGACACTATCCATAACAGGGCATCATTCTCCCTGGCCCATTGCCTCATGGGAGAGCTAGACAGAGAGAGAGAGAAGCTGGGGGAAATCTTAGCTTCATTGTCTTTGCTCTAGTGATGCAAAAGCTGGAATCTCAACTTTTCTCCTCCAAAGGTCAGGGAAGCTTTTCATCAACAACTTGCAACATTTCAACCTTTTCCCATCAAAATGTCAAATGTGGTTGATTGCAAGGTTTTCCCCCCAAAATTCGGAATCTCAGAACACCTCAAATGTTCACATTTCTCATCCACCTTCCAAACGTCGATCTTCTCGATGAGCATTTTGAAAGGCATTGAATTTTTTTCACTCTCCATTGAAACTTCTAGTGAAATTTTTCATCAGTTTCAAATTCCAAGAAAATATTTTCGACATTTCAAATTTTGATATTTCTTTTCCATCCAGATCTCATTGTAATATTTTCATCAAAAATTGAATTGACACATTTCCCATCAATAAAAATGGTCAAAAAGGTCCAATTTCAGTAAAAATGTTCAACGTTTCTACAAAAAAAAATCATCCATGTTTTGAATTTCAATATTTTTTCCATCAGTTTTTAATCTTATTGAAATTTTTGCTCAAAAATTTGAATCGCAACATTTCGCATCCACAGTTCAAATTTCAGTGAAAACATTCATCAGCATTTCAAATTCACCGAAAAAACTTTCACTGACATTGTAAATTTCCGGTTTCCATCAGAATTTCAAATGTCATTAAAATATTTTCATCACAATTAAAATTCCAGTGCATTTTTCATCAATTTCAAATTTTAGAAAAGGTTTTTTTCATTGACATTTCAAATTGGGACATTTTTCATCAAAATTACATCTCTCTGAAATTTTTCCATCAAAATTTGAATTCCAACATTCTCATGGATGCCTCAAATATCAATGACAGGTTTCAGAGTAGCAGCCGTGTTAGTCTGTATCCACAAAAAGAACAGGAATACTTGTGGCACCTTAGAGACTAACAAATTTATTAGAGCGTAAGCTTTCGTGGACTACAGCCCACTTCTTCGGATGCATATGCGAATGGATATGCATCCGAAGAAGTGGGCTGTAGTCCACGAAAGCTTACGCTCTAATAAATTTGTTAGTCTCTAAGGTGCCACAAGTATTCAAATATCAATGAAAATGTGCATCAAAATATCAAGTTTCAGTGAAAACTTTTCAGCCACATTTCAATTTTTGCTATTTTCCATCTCAATTTTGAGCACCAACAAAATTCCTCCTCAAAATATCACAAGCATTTCAACCCAAAAATTCCAGTGGCACTACTAATTTGGATATTTTCCATCAGAATTTTGACTCTCATTGAAATTTCCCCCCTACAAAAATGAAAATTCCACTGACATTTTTCATCAATTTCAAATTTCACCACAACATTTTCACTGACATTTCAATTTTGATATTGTCTCCCATGATGGCAAATCTCATTGACGTTTTTCCTCAATCACACTTTGAAATTCCAATAAAGTTTTGCATCCGTTTCCAATTTCAACAAAACATTTTCCATCAACATTTTGAATTTTGATATTTTCAAGCAGAATTCTGAATCTCTCTGAAATACTTTCTATCCGCATTTCTCAACACACGTCAGTGGTTGTAAAACTTCATATCCCAGTAAAACCAGCCATATTTCAATGAAAGTTTTCAACCCAACAAAAAAGTTCATTACAATTTCAAATTTCACTGGGGTCGGGGAGTAGAACCAAAATTCTACCTCAGAAATGTGGGAGGTGTGGAATTTCCATCCCATTTCCATTAACAGCCTCCAAAACGGACTCAAATATTTTAAAGCAGAAATACAGCCCTGATCTCTTTCAAGGGGAATCCATTTGTTCTGACCTCATCTCTAGGCACCAAAAAGGTCGTAAATTAACGCTATTTATTATCCGGATTGTGGTAGCATCTCTGAGCACCAACCATGGCCTAAGACCCCACTAGCACCCCCAGTGCTAGCCACTGTGCAGACACAGAGCTTGCAATCCAGTGTACAGTGGAGCGTGAAAGGAACAAGGAGCCAGTGTGTAGCAAGCACCCTGCTTGCTTTTAAAGGGACCCGATCCTTGATTTTAATATCCGGTCCTCCCCATGGCATCTCTGCCCAGTCCAGAGCAGGAGCAACGGTGGATTTCATGGGTCCTCTTCCATAGCTGGCAGAATCACACAGTGGGGAACACAGGAACAGCTGCCCCAGAACAGTGGGCCCATCTACCCTGGTATCCCACCTCTACCAGTGACTGTCCCAGCTGCTTCAGAGAAAGGCAGATCAACCCTCTCTCCCCCCGGTGGACAGTTCTGGAATAACTTGCCCCCAGGGAAAGGAAGATCCCACACCGGACCCCAGAGTAGGGTGGGTTTCATTTCCCTTCCCTCCCCTCCGACTATTGCTTATTGCGGGGTGAATAATGGAGTTTTCGGTTCACTGGCAGGACTGAAAAATTGGAGGGGAAAAAATTCAGGTTTTGGGTCAAAATTGAATGTTTATGAAATTTTCGGCAAATCAAAAGTTGAAAAAAAGTCCCATCTGGGGTCAAACCAAATATTTCGTTTGGCTTCTGAGCCTTGGTTTGTTTTTTAACGCTTTTGAGTTGTCATTTCAATCAAACCAAGGGAGGTTCTGAAACAAGCCGCCATTTGCAATCAGAACGGTGAAACATTTTCACTTTTTCGGGATTGATTTTGGGGTTTTTTCCAACCGAAACCATCTGCTGAAACTGACAAGGAACTGAAACGATTTCACGGAATCTGTCCATTTCACCCCCAACAAACTTTTGGCCGAAAAACGTCTCCCAGCGCTAGTTATTCCAAGAGTCCTATTGACTGTCACAACGTGGAATGCCCGCATTATCCTTAGCAATGTTCCATCCTTGTTTTATTTTATTTTTAATTCTAGGCTCTGCTGTTATGTAGTTGCAGATAGTTCCCCTGGCTAAGCAGAGCATGGATCAGCTCTCAAATCCCAGCCACTGCAGTTCGAGGGAAGGTTCCCAGCGGAGTTCCTCCCGGGCCGGGAGATGAAATACACGTGTAATCGAGTGGCCCACATGGGAAAGGTTTGGGGGATGAGATCTCAAAGACCTTCACCAAGGATGTTGGTATACATAGCCCCATTTTACAGATGGAGAAACTGAAGCACAGAGAGGTGACATGATTTGTCCCAAGGTCACCTGGCAGAGCTAGGGAGAGAACCCAGGAGTCCTGGCTGCCAGGGCACTACCCATTAGGCCACACTGCCTCCCACGACTGACTCGAGGCCTGGAAAGACAACCGATAAGCACCTAAAGGAGGAGAGCTCTTGGAGCTAGCAGACAAAGGCCAATTGGGAGACAATGGCTGAGAGCAGAGAGGAGATAAATTCAAAGTTGGTAGAAGAGGAAATATTTTGTCTCTGGGGGAGTTGGGGGCCGGCTCACCCAGCACTGAGATGCAGCCACCGCTGAGGCAGGACAGCTGGGGAACAGCCGCAAAGCGACACCACCTGGGGACGGCTCACCGCACCCCACAATGAAATCGGATCCCCAAAGGGATCCCAACATGATCTAAATCACGTCCGTGTATTACATTTCTGCCCGAGCCCCTGCAAAACCAGCTACTCCCCCGACAGATCCCAGCACGACTCCCTGCAAAACCAGCCCCCCATCCCATCCCCACCCCCTGCAAAACCAGCCCCCAATCCCATCCCACCCCCAGCAAAACCAATCCCCCCCAGATCCCAGCACGATCCTCCACAAAACCAGCCCCCCATCCCATCCCCACCCCCTGCAAAACCAGCCCCCAATC